CTCCAATGCTCATAAAACATATAACCTTTCAATTTATACTAGAACATTATAATATAATAAATTAAGCCATATTAGAAGTACAAGTTCACGTTCAATGCTAGACAAGAGTTCTTCAACACCTTATTCGTATTTTATTCTTTGACAGTAAGAACTTGGTTTAATGATCCTAGTTCTTCAACCGCCCATGCCTTAACCTCTAGTTTTTTTTACAAAATATTATCTACTTTGCAAACAATATTAGAGGTGGAGAGAGAGGCGATTGAAGACCTACAATCACTAAACCAAGTTATAATTGTCAAAGAACAACATGCAGTTAACGATGTAAAAAATTCTTGTAAAGAATTGAACGTGTGCTTCTTTTCTAATACAACTTTATCTATCATATCATAATTTTCTATTGCAGTTTAGAAATTTATATATTCGGTAAGGGATTAGAAAAACACTCAAACCACACAATATATATAATAAATTCATTTTTTAAACAAACATTAACAACAAACCATAAACAAAAAATACAATATATCAAGTCATAGAATACTTCAGAAACGTATCATACATGACATGTCCCATAATGGTGTGGAGATAAAGATGACAGAAAATCCACCGTTGAATACATTTTAAGTATGGAGAAACACCAATCTCTTGGTGTTCTAAGAAGGAACCAACTGTAGCGCTCTGAGATTGAGTATATTGCAGTGTCTTATGCATGTCAAGTTGTATGGTTAATGAATTTAATGAATGAGTTGTGCAACAAAGAGATTAAAGTTGTGAGTTTAATGATAAACAACGCTTTTGCTATAAATTTGCTAAGAATAACATTGCACATGGAAGAAGCAAGCATATAGAGATGAGATTTCACTACTTTAGAGAGCCTGTGAGTGAAGGAAAATTAAAATTGGGGTATTGAAAAAGTGAAGATTAAGTTATCGACTTGCTAACCAGAGGAGTAACAGTTGAAGTGTTCAAGAGGTTGAAGAAATACATGAGTATGGAAGACTTAGAGGACTTGAATTAATGCAGTGTGTTATGAAAAAGTGATAATTCAAATTGGTGTACTCGGTTACAGTCTACGTGTAACTGATTACCACCATTTCAACAGCAGTCAGAATCAAATAGAATCGACATGTAATCGGTTACACCTTTAATGTAACCTATTACCACGCTCCAGTTTTTTTCTCCAATTTTTTATATAGTTGCGTACTCTAACCGATTACAACTTTGATGTAACCGGTTACATGTTTGAAAAGTTTGTTTTTCATTTTAGTTGGTTAGATACATTGATGTGTATTTTTGTATATATACCTAATACTAGATGATTAATAAAAACAACCATTTTCACTTTAATTATCTCTAATTCTATCACTCTTTTCTTATTAATTTGTTCATCATTTCATCTATTGATTGAGGTTTTCTTAAACAATTATTACAAATGAAATATGTACGCCTTTTATAGCTAAAAAAAAAACTAAATAATTATTATGTGTAAGAGATTTTTTCTCTTTCTTTTTATTTGAATTTCTATATACCTTTGTTAGTTCTATTTCTTTCTTTTTTTTCTTTTGTTTCTGCGTGTTTTTCTTCTTCTTTGATCAACAATATCAGGGCTGGCCTTGTGTTAGGGGCAATCCAGCCTAAGACACAGGGCTCAAAAAATCGAGGATCTTTAAAATCAAAAGAAAAGTTACAAAATTATAATAAAGAATAAGTTATATATATATATATATATATATATATATATATATATATATATATATATATATATATATATATATATATATATATATATATATATATATATATATATATATATATATATATATATATATATATATATATATATATATATATATATATATATATATATATATATATATATATATATATATATATATATATATTCTAATCATTTAATATTTCTTATTTAGTAGTATAGCTGTTATGACATTGTTGTTTGAACTAATCCCTAATTCAACTCTTGTTGGTTTACTTTTACATTTTATAAATAATTTCTTTCATTATATATCTCTAATTACAAAATAACTTTTTAATATAATATTTTGAAATTTATAATGGCTCTCAAGTCTGAACTTTGTTCTTGTTTAGTTATATTTTTATTTTATAATTTTACAAAATTCGATGCATTATTTTATTTTATATCTTCAATTACAAATGAGTTTTTTGATATAATCTTTTAAAATTGACAATAAGCCATCAAGTCACGTTTTGTTCTTGATGATTATTTATTATAACTTTAATTTCTATTTTTTTAATAAACTTTAATACTATTATAGTTAAACATTAAAAATTCATCATTCGACCATATCATTTGTTATCAAATTTTTATGTTTAAATAAAATTCATTATTATTTGTGGAAGTAGATCATAAATAATTTATGCAACACTTTCTAATTCAATACATTGATTTGATTTGATTGCATCGATGTCAATATAAAATTCACATCTCCTTCCTCAACAAGTTATCTCATTTTCACGTATCTATATTCCTTTTAACTCTTTACTGTAAAACCTTCTCCTCCCACACGCCAGCCACCACATTACGCTGCCCACCTCCGCTAACAGCTAGAACCACCGCCATTCCCTTTAAGTCTGACACATGTGTTGGGAATATAACCAGAGTAAATCTCCAATCATTGATACAAATAAAATAAAATAAACACACAATCAAAAGTTTATTACTAAGTTGTAATTTTTGGACGGAACAATTGCAAACTCTCTCAACAATTATTTTTGAACGAAAAAATAGAAAACCCTCTAAACAACTATTTTTATACGGAAAAATAGAAAAACCTTCTCCACCACAATTTTTGTATGGAAAAATTGTAAACCATCTCTAGACACAACTACTCAAATCCCCAATACACCCAAAAGACTAGAATTGTCGTAGTAAATAAACTCAAACTAACTCTATATTTATAATAATCTTTTATTCATTTTTTTCTTCACATTACTCGATGTGGGACTTGGATGAGTATCCACTTTAACACAACATATCCTCCATTCATTCAAAGTCTCACATATTTTCACTTTGTAGTCCCCTTTATCCTCACAAGTTAAAAATATCGTCTACACAACTAACCATATTTGCATAAGGGACATTTTTCAGTTCTTCTGTTTTCTTCTTTATGCCTCGCACATCCTCTATAAATTCTAGACATCTAGATTGCATGTGACCAAATTGTTGACAGTAATGACATTTGACTGAACTTATATCTCTTGATTGAAAACTTCTACCATATTGATCACCATAATTCTTTATGTGTCCTCCTTTGGCTACTAGTACCTGATTTTCTTCAGAAGATTGATCAAAACCCATCATTTACTGACTCTCCTTCAATGATTTCACTACTTCATCTAAATCTAGTGTGCTATTCCTTGCTAACATTAATTGCACTAATGATTTGTAATATTTGAGTAATGAAGCCAACAAAAGTAATGCTTGCTCTTCATCTTTGATATATTCCCCTACATTCATGATTCTAGATACCAACTCATTAAATTAATTAATATGGTTAAATACATTACCTTTATCTTCCATCTACAATAAGTAAAAATTAGTTTTCATTATCAATCAATTCGTTAACGTGGTTGATGCAAACTTGCTTTCTAACAAATCTCACAATTTCTTTGGAAAAATTTCTTTCAACACAGTCACTTTAATCTGTGGAGCAAGTTCCAACCGAATTGTAGTCACTGTCTTTTTTTGTATTGAATTTCAATCCAAATCTTTCATTTCACTTGATTTTTTTCTTTTCTAAAGCACAGTCAAGACCTTGTTAAATCATATAGTCTTGTATTGTGCATTGTCATAAAGGGGAAATTCATTCTCCCATCAAATAAATGAGTATCCATCTTCAATGTATCCATAATATTATTTAAGAAAATAAAACACAAATAAAAAAAGATGATAGAAAATCTGTGATTTCCTCCATTGATCGAAACCTTTGCTCTAATGTCATTTGTTCGAAATATAACCAGAATAAATCTCCAATAATTGATACAAATAAAATAAAATAAACTCACAATTAAAAATTTATTACTAACTTGTAATTTTTTGACGGAAGAATTGCAAACACTCTCAACAAGTATTTTTAAACGGAAAAATAAAAAACTCTCTCAACAATTATTTTTGGACGGAAAAATAGAAAAACCCTCTCTACCATGACTTTTGTATGAAAAAAAATTGTAAATCTTCTATAAACACACAACTATCCAATTTTCAATAAACTCAAAAGACTAGAATTATTATTATAAATTAACTCAAACTAACTCTCTATATTTATAATTACTTTTTACTCATTTTTCTTCGCATTACTCGAAGTGAAATTTGAATAAATACCCACTTTAACATATCGCGACCTTATCTCTCTCAAAATAGGATAAAATATAATTCAAAATAAGAAAATAAAAATACCTAAATATAATTGTTTAGTTTTTTTTATTAGGAATCAATTTTTATTATTTATTTAGTTAAAAAATGAAATCCAAAGGCAAATTTATTTAGTTAAGTTATGGTCATGTAAGGCGGCTTTCTAAGAAAAAGAGATATTTATATTTACAAGTCTTATCTTATATCAGCAGCTTAGCACTTAAAGCAAGAGAGCAAAAATGTTCGACTTAAAATTATTAAGTCGTCATAATATACCTAACTTGAAATTAATTTCCTGGGAGCTCGAATGATGGACAGTATAGGGTTAAAATTAAGAAGTTAATTACTTGTTAGAAGTTAATAATGTGCTTAACTTCATATTTACTTCTTTCTAATTAAAATCCCTGTCTTGTGAGTGTGAGAAAGAAAATGAAATCAACAGCAAGTTATATAAAGTAAAGCACGAGAGAATAACAGGTATATAGAATCATCATTTATTTTTCATCCAATTAAGTGTACATACATTCATGTATAGCACCTTTTGTTTTATTTATGGTTTTATTAGGAAGCAGTGCTAGAACTTCTTATTATTACAAAGACTGACTCATTGCCCTTAGCAATTAACAAAGACATAGTTAACTGTAAGGTGACCCGCCTGGCGACCAGCTCCGTTGGTATCAATTTGATTGAAGACATTCACATCCAAATCCAGTCCACCATTAGAGCACTGATCCACTATTCTCACTGTTACCTGAGCTCCAGTTGCAGTATTTGTCACCTGCATCATCCATCACCACAGTATTATTAGTTCGTCCATGCACATGTACACAAATAAACTAATAAAAATAAAAGCTACAACATTAGAGAAGTGGTCATACCCTCAAGCATCTGCCGCAAGAATCTCTGCCTGTAGGCCCGGCGGGTCCACAAAAGGCAGTCCAACCGTATTGGCTACGCCATGACAAAGGCTGGTTAGCATCCCAGGTAGCACAGTAAACACTGGCTGTGTTGTAATCCCAGTTTATGTTCTGAGGGTTGTAGTTATTGTATGTTGCTCTTACGTTGTTTGCACTCTGACCACTCACTAGCATCGCTCCCATAACCAGGAAACAAAGTACCAACAAGCTTAAACTTCTCTGTGTGCTCTCCATTTTCTAGTTATGTGTTGTTTGTTTGTGTGTTTCATTATAGAGGTTAGTGTGCGAATTTATAGACTTGGAGAAAGATAAAGATCACACGATACTACTATATTTCATTCGTATTTAATCTCAAGTCAATTATACATTTGAACCGTTACCGTGCTTGTTTTTATTTTATTTTGCTTTGAATTTTATTTAGCGTGTAGTATATGATTTTGTGTGTTTTGATTTTTCTAAGTCTAGTTTCTCCTCGTTTTTCTGAAATATATAGTCGTGTTGTTTGATTTGTCTTCTGGATGGCCATCCTATGTATTGACATGTCTAGCTAGATATTTTGAATATTACCATGAATTTATATGTGAATAGAAAAAAAATGGGAACACTGCTAATATTCTTCGACTTTAGGATGACTTCGTTGCTTGCTACTACAGACAGGCAATCATGATCTCAAGTGGGGCAGACCATAGAGTGAACCTGTCCTGAAGGTACACAGGATCTAGTCTAAATCGCGACTAATAAGTCTCATATGATCCGTTAGATGGAGAGAATTATAAGATCTCATAACAATTCCATGCATGATACTTATCCAAGAGAAGGTTTTAGGGCCTCTAAATCATAAATCCTAACTATAAAGTCTTATGAACGATTCATACTCAAGTAAGGTATTCACTATTCTAAATCTAAAACCTAACTCTTATAACGTAGGTTTTAGGGCCTCTAAATCATAAACCTTAACTATAAAGTCTTATAAACGGTTCATACTCAGGTATTCGCTATTCTAAATCCAAAATCTAACTCTAACAATGTTAACTTACTTGATCATCAAAGGGTTTGCAAACATGTTTTTAAATTGTGGTTGTTGTGGTGAGCATTGCAGCTGTTGCAATGAAAATTTTATTAGGAAATGTTTGAAATAAATCTTTAAAATCATTTGATGTCTGTCGCTACTGCGAAAATCGGCGCCGGCTGACAGAAGAGTCGCCACCGTGCGTTATTTATCCCAACGGAGGGAAAGGAAACGCTCGAAGTAAACCTCGCAAAAAAATGGGAAAGGTATGGTCATCGCAACCAAAACCTGGATTCAGGAGTCGGTTACGCAAGGGGAAGGTATTAGCACCCCTCACGTCCATCGTACTCGATGGGATCTACGCTTGGTGTTTATAAGGAAAAGGGTGTGTTTATCTATCTACGCTAGTGGTCAGTCTGAAAAGAAAATAAAAGGACAGGACTCGACAGAACATACGGTGTTCTGGGCCTACGTACTCCCTCGTGCAATGGGAAAGTCAGAGTCAACGTAGTTCGACTACCTACGTCTAGACGGGGGGAAGGTTGCTCGCCAGGACATCGCATCCTGTGCCTACGTACTTCCACACGACATGGAAGATCAGAGCAAACGTAGTTCGACTAACTACGGCTAACCTGGGCGCTCTCACACAGCAGTGAGAAAATAAACTGGTTTTAAGGTTCGGGAACCTACAACTACGGTCTGGTCTCAAATGCACTCGGGCAAGAGAAAGGGGATAACAACAGTCGTTAGCGGGAAAGTCTCAATCGCACAGCCGCGAGAGAACAAAAGGTTAGTTGTTAGTGTGCTCGCTAGGATATCGATCCTATGCCTACATATTCTCGTCTGGTACGAGAAATCAGAGCAGCTGTAGTTCGGCTAACTACGACACAAGCTACTCAAGTGCCTTTCTATTGCTATGAAAGGGAAAAGACACCCTAAAACTATGGTTGAAAAGGGGAATCTACCTAGTGTTATCATGCCTGGTTGACCATCCTAATGTCTATCATAACCCCTCCGCAGCGGAGAAGTTATAGCTCCTAAGGGATCATGGCAACAGGACTAAACAGCAAACAAGAATCAACTGCAAAGTAAAGAAATACTGGAAATATGCATGAATGCAACAACCAAACAATCAAGGCATAAAGGCCGCAAACCACAGAGGTAAGGGAGCTCAGCTCTACCAAATACCAGCAAGCAAAGCCATTCAATAACAAACAAGCAGAAGGAGGACCACCTCAACTTCTTATGCACACAAAACCTACTTCTAAGATGCACCTACCTCAGAAATATCTAGATGAACCCCTAGGTCTAATGCAGCACAACACCACACAAGTCAAACAATCATAAAGAGAAGGCGAACCAGCCTGACAAACCCCTATCCAAAAGCATGAAACTACCCCTGAGCAAGACCCTAAACAACCCTGAAACAAACCCCTGATCTACTCCTGAACAAAACCCTATGCAAAACCCTAAGCAAAACCCTAATCAAATATCTAAGCAAAACCCTAATCAAATCTCTAAGCAAAACCCTAAGCAAAATCCTACACAAGAGAAATCAATCCCAATCTTCAAGCTTCAAAACAAGCTTACCAAAGAAAGGGAGCTAAGTAGGCAGACTCATAGTGCCTTCCTCAGGAAAGTACTAGGAGGTTACCACTCAGGAATCATATCCTATGCGGCTCAACAACTATGAACGGTTTACATTCCTCCTCAGGAGAAACTAAACTCACATGAAGGCTCCGACATCATTGGATACTTGAGAAATCCTACCTGAACTAAGGGAACTAAGTGAACAGGCCCATAGTGCCTTCCTCGGGAAAGTACTAGGAGGCTTCCACTTAGGAATCATATCCCATGTGGCTCAACAACTGTGATCAGTTTACATTCCTCCTCAGGAGAAACTAAACTCACATGAAGGCTCCAACATTATTGGATACTTAAGAAATCCTAAATGAACTAAGGGAACTAAGTGAACAGGCCCATAGTGCCTTCCTCAGGAAAGTACTAGGAGGTTACTGTTGCACCCCAAAATTTGCCCTCACAATACAAGACTTTGTGTTCCAAGAAGGTTCACAAGGTTCACAAAATTCATAATTGGTCAGAAGAGTTGACAATTCCCTCAGACAATGCACCTCCTAAGCAGTGCATCCAAAACTAGGGTTTTGACTTTAATCAGGCTAAATGGACTTCCAAGACTTCAAGTGAGCTTCATAACATCTTATATGTGTATAAGAACCCCCATGTCAAGTTTCAAGACTTTTCTCAAAAGTTTGCTCAGTCAGATGATCAGATAAGTCAAAAGCAGTCAATGCAGTTAAAAAGTCAAACTGAGGTCAAACCAAAGTCAAACTTCATGATTTTTTTTTGCCAACATCAAAGAGAGGTTGGGTGAGAAATATTATCATAATAACTGTAATACCCCAAATTTTGCCCTAAGATTTGTCGTCGCATTTCATTGCATTTAATCAATTACTAACAAATTTGTGTAGTCGTTTGACTTTTTGCAGGTAAATATTATATGGCATGCATTTTTTTTCTAAAAAGTAAAAATGGCACAATTGGCAGGAGGACATGTGTAAGGAGTTATGAGTGTGAGAGGTTGAGAGTTCGAATCTCACCTTTGTCATTTTTTTTTGTTTTTATTATTTTTACTCTAAATTTTTCTATCTTTCATTAAAAAAATAACAAAAATAGTTTTTTATTATTATTTAATTATTATTTTCGTATTTTAATTAAATCATTTTTTAAAATATTATTTTTTTCACTTTTTTCTAAATTATTCATAAAAATATCCAAAAAATCATAAAATAAAAAATATTGAAAAAAATTTTGTTCTTTTTATAATTTTTTTTATTTTAGGAATCAATAGGATTATTAGTTTTTATTTTAAGTTTATTTTAATTATTTTAAATTATTTAAATTTTATTTTTTCATAACTAATTATTTAGTTTGGGCTTTAAAATGGGCTTTAGGGACATTATTGACAATTTGGTGTTAACCCTAATTTGTTCCCTATATATACATGTGTTGCCTTGTTGGAAAGGGGGGAGAATGAAAAAAACCTAAGAGGAGTGAGTGCCGTTTGCCGTTATTTAGTTTTCTTCTTCATCCATTACTATTGTTTCTTTTTCTTCATCGTTTACCGTTGTTTCTTTTCCTTCATCTATTACTGTTGTTTCTTTTTCTTCATCTTTTACCGTTATTTCTTTTTCTTCATCTATTACCGTTATTTCTTTTTCTTTATCTATTACTGTTACGTTTATATATATATAATTTTTAAATTGTTAGAGTTTATATATATAAGATTTTTGATCGAATTATGTCGATACGATGTTTGCACATTTGTGTGCATGACGCGTGACATTTGTGTTAGTTCGATCTGGTTGCGATGATCGCATTTTTGTGTGAGCAATAATACTATTTTTTGCTTAATTTCTTTTTCTTTGCGATAAATTTTGTTTCGTCCGATTTAGATCTGGTTGCGATGAGCGCATTTCTGCGTTAGCAACATTGTTGGGTTATTTGGCACATTTAAAATTCATTATTGCTTTATTATTATTATTATTATTATTATTATTATTATTATTATTATTATTATTATTATTATTATCATTATTTATTATTATTATCATTATTATCATTATTATTACCATTATTATTATTATTGTTATCATTAATTTATTAAAATTTGTTATAATATAAAAATCTGTTTTTTAAAATAAATAACATTAACATCTTTTCCAAATTAATATGAAAACCTATTATTTTTAAGAAAAAACTTTTTTTTTTTAGATAAATTTAAAATAATAACTAAAATCTTTTTTTAAAATAATAACTAGAACCGTTATTTATTTTATTCAAATTTCATTATCATATTGTATCTGCTCCTCTCATGTAACCTCGCGAACTTAACAATCGCTCTTTAAATTCTGCCTTTAAATTTCTGCTTGCATGGTTTAAATTATGACATTATCTCTCTGTTTGCATGATTCAATTATCTCACGCGTTTACTATTATTTCTGTCACATTGCACACATCCGAAGGTTAGGTCTAACTGTTTGGCCGCCGCGCCAATAGTCCGTAAAACTTCACACATTCAATTTCAAATCCTCAAAACTATAAACTACAAACCCTAATTTTCACAAATGCCTCGCCGCAGGCAAAATTACAATTTTACCCTTAGCATTAGGTCAAAGAGCCGCCGCGCTCATTTTAGGGTTTCCCG